TGATAAAAGCTCACATCAATCTCTTTGGATTTTACCGATGTTTATGCTGATTTTATTTTCATTGCAAAGTATGCAACAGTGTGGGCCAATAGTAGTACACAAGAGACGTATGTTGTAAAAAGTTTATTGAGAGGGGCATCTGGGAATTTCCACAAATTTTATACCAAAGATGTAGAATGGCAAAATGAACAAAATATCCAATTTTGAAGGAAATTGGTAAGATCGTTTGGATTTTATTGATATGTAACTAATTCCCCCCCCCCCCCCATTTTTAGCCTGCCACCACCATTTTGAGGGATGCTCCCCTTAAGCTCATTTAACCCATTCGTGCCGGGTGTCACGTATACGTGACGTGCCCACTGTGAGTTTACTTGTTTAGTTGTTTTCACACATAGATGGCTACACTAGTACCTGTACTGCCTGTCTCGCCTGTTTACCCTTTACTTTAATTTATGAAAATATTTTACGTTATCTTATTTTGCTGTTTCTAATGTTTATGATGATGTTTATTATAAAAATAACCATCGAGATTCATTAAAAATACATTTACCCGCCAATTCAAGTAAAGGTGAAATCAGGTAAGGCAGAGCCATCTAGTGTAGAGACATTTCACAAAAAATATAAAAAATAAGCACAGCATTTTCCCAATTTTTTGTTCATTTTACCCGGTGCGAATGGGTTAATGAAACTCTATAGACATCCCAACATCTTTAAAAGTCTACAAACTGATGAACCAACCTTCAAAAAACTTTAAAGGAATCAAACCGATCATTCAGTAAAATTCTATGAGATATCACATAATCCAAATCCTGTGGTAATTGTATAATGCATCTTAAACAATAAACCAACCTAACCTTAAACCTCTGGGATTTATATATTCTCTATCCAGGGGGCCCTGCCCCATGAAACCGTGGTAGTATATATGCCCTGGACCCTTGCAGTAATATATAACCATCTGGCCAGGGTGCTATGCCCCCTGGATCCCATGGCAATGAAGAAATATGTTCTATATATTCCCTACCAGGGTAAAACCACATACTGTTATATAGCAAAACACCGTACTTTTCTTCGGTACTGTCTATGGTCAGAATTGCTTGGTTTCTTATCACTTTTTTTGGCATTTGGGGCACTTTATGGGCTCAAATATCAGGCTATCTATTTTTTCTGTACATTACCTATATGGCTTTAAAAATGACTTGGAATCGACACAACACTTAAAATGAAACATTTCTCAATGAATGGTGTTGCACAGCCTGTCAATTCTCTTGATGGCAAATGTGCTTATGCACAAGGTTATAGTACATAATATCATAAAATGATTACTAAAACACATAAAAGAAGTATATTAAAAGCAAAAGAATGCATTACGTTCGGTAAAAACATGCTGGTAATTACAAAATAATTATTCTTATAAGTACAGTCATGAGTTATGCATCACATTTGCTTTGGTCCTTGCAAAGGAACACACAGTGGGGACTTAGACAATGATGGGTCAATCTTCTCCCTTCTCTGTCTTGTATCTCCATTATTTTTAATTTATGTACATTTTGCCATAGATTTAAAATGTCTTAGTGTTTGTTGAGGTAACCACTTTTTTTCAGTAATCCTGATTGTCATACACAGAAAATAGTCCTTTTTGTTTTGTATTCCTTCTATTTCAGCCTGCTTTACCCCATAACTTCCCTGATATATTTCATGCCCTTCCCTGCTATTAGGACTTTCTAATCTAGATTGTTGTCCACACTGCCCCGAGACTCGACTAAAACCACAGGCCATCTTGAGGAATCCACGATCCCAAATTAGACGTATTTTCGGACGGAGACCGGTTCAAGGAAATTACCCCGTGCATGCGCGTGTCGCTGCTGCACTACTCGCCTTTATGTTCGTCGGAACGATATCGTAAATGGAGACACTCGGGCCCTTGGGGCTGTCCAGGGCGCCGCTGGCGAAGGACAGCCGCTTCTTCGCCGCCGCCCTGTCCTCTCCCTGTTTTAGGATCGACCTCCGACTCTCGCCTCGCGTGTCCATAGCTCGGCTGTGTAAGTACTGCTTCAGGGAGAGAGTGCCGGTGCGTGTCACTCAGTAACCGCCGTCCTTTCCGCGCCCTGCGCCGAGGCCGTAGATTCGTTTGAATTGACGTTCGAACGACGGGGTTTGTTTACACGGCGCGGCGGCGCGATGGTTCCTCTCGGGCTTCGGCCGACGGCGCTCCGGCGGATTTTGCTTTCTCAAGTAATGGCAGTGGCAACAGGTCTGGTAATGCTGATATTGAAACTAAGGGTAAAGATAAAGGTAATGATAAATAATAATAGTTATGGTAATGGTAATGGTAATGGTAATGGTAATGGTAATGGTAATGGTAAACGTGGTGATGATGATGATGATGATGATGATGATGATGATGATGATGATAATAATTTAATGATAATAATAATAATTTAATGATAATAATAATAATTTAATGATAATAATAATAATTTAATGATAATAATAATAATAATAATTTGATAATAATAATAATTTAATAATAATAATAATTTAATAATAATAATAATAATCTAATAATGAAAATAATAATAATAATAATAATGATAATAATAATAATAATAATAATAATAATAATAATAATAATAATAATAATAATTATTTAATAATAATAATAATGATAATAATAATTTAATAATAATGAATAATAATTTAATAATAATAATTTAATAATAATAATAATAATAATTTAATAATAATAATAATAATAATAATAATAATAATTTAATAATAATAATAACAATAATTTAATAATAATGATAATAACAATTTAATAATAATGATAATAACAATTTAATAATAATAATAATAACAATTTGATAATAATAATAATAATAATTTAATAATAATAATAATAATAATGATAATTTGATAATAATAATAATGATGATTTAATAATAATAATAATAATAATAATAATTTAATAATAATAATAATTTAATAATAATAAGGATAATTTGATAATAATAAGGATAATTTGATAATAATAATAATGATAATTTAATAGTAATAATAATAATGATAATAATAATAATGATAATTTAATAATAATAATAATGATAATTTAATAATAATAATAATGATAATTCAATAATAATAATAATGATAATTTGATAATAATGATACTAATAGTTTAATAATAATAATAATAATAATTGAATAATAATAATAATAATAATAATTGAATAATAATAATAATTGAATAATAATAATAATAATAATAATTGAATAATAATAATAATAATAATTATAATTATAATTATAATTATAATTATAATTATAATTATAATTATAATTATAATTATAATTATAATTATAATTATAATTATAATTATAATTATAATAATAATAATAATTTAATAATTAATTTAATGATAATAATAATAATTTAATAATAATAATAATAATAATTTAATAATAATAATAATAATAATAATAATAATAATAATAATAATAATAATAATAATAATAATAATAATAATAATAATAATAATAAATGATGATGGTAATGATAATTATAATAGTAATATTGATAATGATAATGATAATTATTTTACATAATTGTATCTCATGTCTATAAGGTATAAAATATAACATGTGTAGATGTAGCCTCTAAATGTATATGCATACATTGTATACATATACATGCTTATGTGTGTGTATATATATTTATATATATATATAATGTGTGTGTGTGTGTGTGTGTGTGTGTGTAAAGCATGTGTGTACCATTAAATTATATTGATTTATGCATATACATGCTTATATATGCATAGACTTACCTGTGTAGGCAGGGGCTATCTATATATGCATATGCATACATACATGTATATCTCTATGTAACTACAGTAAGTCCCCAACTTAAGAACATAATGGGGACTGAGAGGCTGTTTATAAGTTGATTTGTTTGTATGTCGAAAGTCAGGTCTCGATTACCTTTTTTCCCATTGTTTTAAAGTTTGTTTACATTAAGAATACCTGTAAATAAATGCCAATAAGTACGACATACTTTATACAATACCAGACTCTTGAACTATATTCGTGCCTGGGAAATTTAAAGTTTGCTAGCATCTTTCAAACAATTTTTTGTACTTTAGTACTTAAAAAATTTTGTTTGTAAGTAGAATGTTCTAAAGTAGGGGACTATCTGTATATATAAATGTATATATGCATATATGCATGTGCAATATGCATAGATGCATGTACATATATGCATATGTGCATATGCATGTGTGCATATATATGTATGCATATGTATGTATGCATATGTGCATGTGCATATGCATATGTGCATTTGTATATATGCATATCCATGCACGCATTTAGGCAACTACCCTCTCTATTTTCTTTTAAAAATGAAAGAAAAGAAAGCTAGCAAAATGTACAGCTATAGATCCTGTGTAATCACACATTTTCATCAGTTCATTGTTTTACCCTAAATTCTAAATTGTTATTCACTGTTATCATCCAATTTACAAGTATTAACCCGTTGCTGACGGGGATGGCATGTACGTACATGCCATGCCCACTGTGAGTCGACTTGTTTGATTGTTTTTACACATAGATGGCTACACTTGTACTAAGTCACCAGTGAGCCAATTACGAGTACTGCCTGTCTCGCCTGTTCACCCTTTACACCGATTTACGAAAATATTTAATGTTATCCTAATTTGTTGTTAAAAATAACACCATCTATATTTATAGCACTAGTAAGAACACATTTTTTCCCGCCAAATCAAGAAAAGGTGAAATCAGGACTATCAGAGCCATCTATGTACAGAGATATTTCACAAAAATATGAAAAATGAGTACAGCATTTTCCCCATTTTTTATTCATTTTCCCCGGCGGCAATGGGTTAAGAATGTAAAAGCAATAGGAAGGCATTTGTAATATGTTGTATAAGATCAAAGAGTATAAGAAGGTATACATCAACAAATTCAACCTCATTTCCTAGGAAGCAACAAAGCCTGAAGTTCGTGCTGAACGGCCCTGGATCATCTTGTTCGGCCACCGCCCCATGTATTGTTCCAACAATGACCACGACGACTGCACCAGGGTCCAATGTCTCACCAGAGTTGGTCTACCACTTGTCCATTTGTAAGTTGGATGTTATGGTTCTTTTATGTGTGTAAATGTTTTCTTAGATTTTCTTTCTGGAATTATACTTTTTTTTCTTGTTCTGTTACATAACTCAAGATTGGAAATTAAAGGTTTGTCCTCTCTAGCCTTAAGAAGAGATGAACTATTTGTCTATTTTTTTGCTAACACAAAAAATAATTGAACAGATTATACCTAATATGTAAATCTCTTTTGTAACAGGTATGCCATGGAAGAACTCCTGCAGAAGTATGGGGTAGATCTTGCTGTCTGGGCTCATGAACACTCCTACGAGAGGCTGTGGCCAATGTACAATTATACAGTGTTAAATGGGTCGACAGAAGCCCCATACACCAACCCAAGGCAAGTGTGATAAGACTGTATGTCTTCAATAGTGCTACACATTTTTCTTTGTATGCCGCATATTATTTTAATATGTTACGGCAGTATCCAAACGGCAAATGCTTATTAGATCTGAATGCTGTAATGTTTTGGGGCTGCTACCATACACTAATAGCTTCAGTAAGATGATTCCCAGAGATTTTCAGGTGATCTTTTTATACTGTAGTCTTTTCATTTTCATCATTTATATTCTTCAGAAACTGAGTGAACATCATGTACAATTTGTGTACTATACCCAAAGTAATTATGAATATGAGTGATGTCACCATAAAGGTACTGATTATATTTGGAGCCAATGTCTCCATGAACAAATTCATAATCCAAGTCATTATACAAAAATTTCTTAAAGTAGCACAGTTATCCACCATGTATTCCTTTCCTTTCATCGTTACTTCTTTTCTAAACAGGGCTCCAGTTCACATCACTACAGGGTCGGCAGGCTGTGATGAGAACCATGACCACTTCATGCCTGCCCAGCCAGACTGGTCTGCCTTCAGAGCCATCGATTATGGATACACACGGGTCAAGATCTTCAACAAAACACACATGTACTGGGAACAAGTATCTGATGATCAGGCAAGTATAATTATTATTATTATTATTATTATTATTATTATTATTATTATTATTATTATTATTATTATTATTATTATTATTATTATTATTATTGTTATTATTAATTAATTAATTTATTATAACAGTAATTATAAAAACAAATAATTGATTATTATTTTTACTTATTTATTTATTGATGAATGCATATGTAGCTAAATGACTAAGTTACCTGTAGTAGTAGGCTCTAGGATATAAAGCTGACTTGTGCTTTTATCTTCCACAGAATGGAAAGGTGATTGACAATGTGTGGCTCATAAGAGACAATCACGTGTCCTATGCTGAACTCTAGGACAGGCAGACATTCCCTTGAAGATGATACAATAGGAAATACATTAGTTGGATTCTTAACTTGCATCCAAGACACTGGGATAATTTTCAAGTAGCTAAAGATTGATTCTGAGTAAAATCCTTAGAATAATATTTACACGCACACGCACACGCACACGCACACGCACACGCACACGCACACTCACACGCACACTCACACTCACACTCACACTCACACTCACACTCACACTCACACTCACACTCACACACACACACACACACACACACACACACACACACACACACACACACACACACACACACACACACACACACACACACACCCCAGTGTGAAGATTTGGAGAAGTTCAAGCTAAAAGTTATGGATATTTTGCTAGTATTTAATGGGAAATGAATGTACTGGATTAGCATACATAACTGATGTGAAATGAGTGAGAGCATTTCTTGGATAATTTTTTGCACACTGTATATTACTCTATCTAGTAATAGTTATGGTTGTCATTGATGTAAGTCTCATTATAAGCAATGATTTATGATAAGGAAAATGGTGCTATTCTAAGAGTCTTTATGCAAGCAAGAAGATCCACTTTTCAATGCATGCTACATAATCATACATATATGTCCTCAAAGGTATTTTATGTCCTTTTTTTGATCACAAATTGCTCTAAGAGGAATAATTTGCAAATATTGTTAGTACAAAGAACAGGTGAAATTTTTCTGTGTGTCTTTGTCTGTCTGTCTGTCTCTCTTTCCCTCACCCTCCCTCTCTCACTCTCAGTCTCCCCATCTTTCCCCCTCCCCATCACTCCCTCTCCCTCTGCATCTGTGTCTGCCCCTCTCCCTCTCCTTCTATTTTTCCTTCCTCACTTACAAAGAAAATACAACAATGTAAAGATGTTTTTAGACTTTCTGTGAATTACTAGGCTAAGATCAACAAAAATAGGTTATTTTTGGTGCAAGATATACTGTAATAGCATGGTTGTGCAATAAGAAGTAAGGATTCTTAACCCATTGCCGCTGGGGAAAATGAACAAAAAATGGGGGAAATGCAGTACTCATTTTTTACATTTTTGTGAAAGACAGGCAGTAATCGTAATTGGCTCATTGGATACTTAGTACAAGTGTAGCCATCTATGTGTAAAAACAATCAAACAAGTCGATTCACAGTGGGAATGGCATGTGCGTACATGCCATCCCCGGCGGCAATGGGTTAACTTGCATCCAAGACACTGGGATGATTTTCAAGTAGCTAAAGATTGATTCTGAGGAAAATCCGTAGAATAATATTTATACACACACACACACACACACACTCTCTCTCTCTCTCTCTCTCTCTCTCTCTCTCTCTCTCTCTCTCTCTCTCTCTCTGTCTCTCTGTCTCTCTCTGTCTCTCTGTGTCTCTCTCTCTCTCTCTCTCTCTGTATATGTATTACTGGTTTACTGTATTAACTGACAATTTCTGTAGTCTGTCTTTGAGGTTACAATTTACTATTGACTCTTTAGAGAGAATATCTGTATTAAATGTTTTTAATGCTCTTTACCCTGATAATTCCTTTATAATCTCTCTATATCATGTTTTCATGTAGCATGTTATGGAACATCTTTGATAGTGTACCTTTTATGTACACAATGAATTCTAATATTAATTGGAGGTAGTGTGAAATGATAAAACATTAAATATGTATTACCCATGTTATGGTTAGTGTGGCATAGATTTTAATAAATACATATATTTGGGATATTGATATA